GTAGATAATGCCGGCATATGCAGATCCTGGATAAAAACAGAAAAACATACTTTTTTTTTTTAGTTGTCCTCAGGTTCCACATGTCTTGTTAAATGGCTGCCAGGCTGCTTTGTACAGAGGAAACTACAGTGTAGGGTGTGTAAAAACCCCTTTTCCCACAATGCTTCTCTCGTGCATTAATTTTCATAGTGGCCCCTCCCCTTGGGCAGTTCAGAATGACCAGGAGATTTTTATTTATTTTTTTTTTACCTGTGACTACAGTTGGAGGATTGTTGTGATTGCTAAATAAATCCGGATTTCTTTAGCAACATCCCCGGTGACCCTGCACAATTTCCGGTGACCCCGCACATCCCCGGTGACCCCGCACTTCTCCGGTGACACCAAACAATCTCTGGTGACACCGCACAGTGGGGGGGATCTATCGAACTGGAGAAGGGAAAATCTGGAGCAGATTTGCCAATCAGCATCTCTCTCATTTTCAAATCTTACCCGAGCAAACTGAAGAGAGAAGCTGATTGGTTGCCATGGGCAACGGCTCCAGATTCTGTTTGCTGCAGTTTTGATCAATTACCCCCCCTCCCCCCATGTCTTTTTAATGTATCTGTTCTAACAGTCATCTGTAAATGACAAGAATGGTGGGGGGGGGGGACATTGAGGAACCTGGACAGAAAGTAAATCTGACTCTGGAGAGGGAGAGCTCTGAGAGACACACGGGACACAGAGAGAAGGTGCACACAACAAGTGCAGGAGAATCTTCATAACACACAGACGCACACAGAGCTCTGAGGAGATGTGCTGATGACTCATCTCTGCTCTCTCCTCAGAGCTGAGTGTATGCTCGTTCATGAGGAGGGGGGAAGGGTGAGCAGAGCAGAGGGGAATCGGCATATTGCAGTTTACTGATAAGAAACCCGACCCTCTGAGAGACGGATTGAGGATCCTGTGGAGGGAATTTTTAATTTCTAAGTCTCTGGCCTGTTAAAGAGTCTATTAACCAGTTGACATCCGCGGTGTTAAACCCATTCCCATCCAGGCCATTTTTCAGTATTCAGCGCTGCGGTACTTTGACTGACATTTATTCCGTCATGCAACGCTGTACTGAAATGAATTTTATACCCTTTTTTGGGGACAGATAGAGCTTTCTTTTGGTGGTATTTTTTTACCACTGGGGTTTTTATTTTTTACTATATTAAGGAAAAATTACCGAAATTTAAAAAAAAACCAGTTTCCCCTATATTAAATGATAAAACCTTTTTTATTACCCAATTTTTTGGTAAAATATAAAAGACGGGGTCGCGTCGGGTAAAAAGACACCAAACATGTCAAGCCTTAAAATTGCGTGCGCGCGCGAAACCTCAAAAAACTACCTCAAAATTGGCCATAGGCGACGCTTTAAAAGCTGTTACCGCTCATCAGTTTAGTGTTATCAGTGATTGATGGCCCTAAAATGATTGCTCTCACTGCGACGTTCGCGGCGATATGTAACGTGTGTAGCGCAATTGTCATTTTTGCGCGCTGGGGCAC